AATTTTCGAAGCCCATAAAATAGCGAGCGAAATGTTACAATCTGTCGTAAAGTGAATAACAGAAATGTTCAAATATACATCTAGCATTCAATATGTTCAGCGCATGAAACCAGTAGGAGAGCTTTCTGTGCTATAACAAACCTGCTAATAAAATTCCCTTACAATTTGAAGATTTTAATTTAACGAGTATTTTAGAAACCCCATATATGGAATTAGTAGGCAAATTGAGTAAACTATGGTTTCATCAATAACTGGTATGAATCATTTATTATCGGAACAGGGGGAGATCACTTTGATGAGTTTGGTGAATCTGTGGGGTTTCTGAAATATTGATTGAACTATGAATGCAGCATAGCCCTACAGATCCAGCTGCTGGCATACAAATTTCTTTTGTAATGTGAAACGAATTGCACATATAGAACGCTGCTTTCAGAAATTTAACATGGACCTTGTTCGTTGTGTGACAGTTACAATTTATCCTGCAATAAGAAATTGACTCTGGGGAAAATTCATGACACCTACTTTTCTCAAAATGTTTCAATAGATATAATAACAACAGTAAGACGTATAAATTAAAGAGTACACATGTTATTTGTTTATTTATATTATAATTTCCACCAAAACCCGCCCGATACAATCTCAAACATTCGCACAGTAGTTATGTTTGTAACTGTTAACATATAAAAGAATATTTCACACAGAATTTGTACGTATGCCTTATATCGTATCTTTACTCATACATAACGTTACACCTACCTTCAGTGATTATTTAGTTACCTTTGACAGTTTGACAGATAAATATATAATTCTCACGATCGCCATGTTGTTTTACGTTCTTCAAAGCATTACCTTAACAAAATCCACATGGATCTTATCCATTGAATCTCTATTACCACTCGAGATTTTAAGATCATGCGCTAGTAGTTGATGCAGTGTCGCTCCCCTTACAGATTTGCATTATCGGCACTGTTGATGGTTGGAAATTAATTTTGCCTTGAATCAATGGCCTCCAGTAGCATGTTCTTCATACCAGTTTTCATGACTTTAAATATATTGTCGAAATATACCATTCTAGACTCTAGCAGGTCGTACTTCGATCTTCTAAGTATAAAAATTTAGAATCTATACTTTTAGACCTTGAAGAAACTGTATATGGCTAACTTGTCTGATGACAATTGCACGTGGTCACGAAGATGACCACAGGGTCTTCCCAGAATGAACTGATGATGAGGGTTGCCACATCTGCGGTTTTGGTCTCGTATCCTTGGAAACTGAGATCCAAATTGCAGTCGGAATGAGTCAGAATTCTGGATTTCCAAAGTTTTAATGCCTTATAAATTTATATTGCGGTTAAATTTTTTTTACTGAAAACAAGTTTTATATTTGTTATATGCTGTGGAAGCTTAAGAAGTTGGTGTCCACCCGGATTAGTCTTAGAATTTCAATAAAAACTTCAAGAAGGATTTAATTCTGTCGCTATATATATATATATATATATATAAGCAGGCCTACACAAACCAGCTGCCTCTGTATGGTGACTAGCATGTAGTCAAGTATACTGTATTTATTTATATATTGTTTTTAATTTTTATATTTTCTGCTTCTGTGTCCAAAGTACGTCGGTTACGAACCATATTTCAAGATCTCACACTCCTTACCTGTAAAGCATGTTCTGTATTAATCTAGCGCATCAGCATGGCTTGTGATTTTCCATTGCAGTCCGAATTTGCATGTACATCAAGGTGAACTTCTCTTGTCACGTGGACAGGATACATATTACACGTAAGAGACACGGGGTTTCCTAATAAAAAAAGTCATTTAGAAGTATATACACTTGGCGCATCTCACAATCACCTTGGTCGAAAGCTAGCTCTCCTGCCACATTTCTAGTGTTCTTCAGTCCCAGGAAAATACTGTGATGGTACCAGGAAACGTTTTCTCTGCGCATTCTTTCGATGTTTGTATAACGCGGTGTTTTTAAGGAATGCAACTATCGCGTTATAGGAGAAAAGGCTGTAAAGTATTTCATATCTGAGGTCATGCAGTGTAGAAAACTTGAGAATCTAATATTGACCTGCGTTGCCTGTACAGTGTAAATAAATTTCGTATTTAAGTTCTCTGTGGCATAGAACTTTAGGTTAGGTTACATTACAGACTTGCAAGAAGCACTGGAAGGAACCCTGATGTTTATTTACAGAACACAAGGCTGTTGTTTTTGTCTTAGTACTAAAAATGGAAGAAGCTATGAGGCAATGCGCATGAGCAGGAAATACAGGTTTGGCTTGTAATTTTATGATGTGTGATAAATACAAAAGAATTCCATCTAGAAGATATGATATTAATTCTTGTTTGTAGGTCTATATAAGCTCAAGCCAAGAGCCTGTCTCAATACGTGCAGATAAAACTCTTGCAATAGAGTAAAACTAAGACCAGGACAGGTCTTTAACGCTAATAAGAAAAATGATATTGTGAAGATAATGTTAATTTCTTTTCCAGACAGACACGTAGCTATTTACAATGGAAATAGACTTACCACACACACCCTGATAGAATATACTGAGGTTTGGGTTGGTTATTTGTTTGTAAGCTTCTTAAAACGCTATGTAATTAATGTCCTACACAAAGTATCCCAAAAAGATGTATACACATATTCAATGGATAAAATAAACGTATTTCAATAAACTAAACTATTACATGCGTCAGTATTTTCATTTAGTGAATTAGAGAATCTAGTGTTGGTGTTCAAAATGACCACCGTTAGCTTCGTGGCATAGTTGACAGCGGTTACCAGATGACTGACAATTTGCCACAGTGCCATAATGTGTATACATCTTTTGAGACATGCTATATATATATATATATATATCGCGGGAACAACTTTCAATGGGGAATAATTGTATGGTTAGGAACTGTGGTGACTCAGCAATAAAGCAACGGCAATGGATTGAAGATCGGAATATAATAACCTGTTACGATATTGAAACGTTCTCTTCGTCCCATGCTCACAACGTCTCTGATCTGATTATGTAATGATCAAGGGGGGTAAAAGCAGCCGGAGCATGCATTTGGCTACTTACGTATACTTTCAGCTAGTAGTGAATTTCCCTCTTTCGCCTTCATGGCGTGTTGCCAAACACGGGCAACTTCACTTTTCTATGTTCTTTGCTAGTAGCAGCAGCGTTCAACGGGGAATTACTTCTTCTGCATCTTAATCGTTTACCGTCTTCCTTCATTTCTCTTGTGTCTTTCCCGTCTCTTCCGCATCTCAGTCTTCTTAATCCGTCTCATCCTTAACTGCAATGGTATTCTCTCAAAACTTATATAATGCTCTGTTATATAATACCAAAACATTTTATAAGTTAAAGAACTTACATATGACCCGCCGTTAGCGGATAACAGTAGATAAAAGTATCAGCCATAACACACAGACGTCCTTGCCCTTTTGTGTATTTCATCTATGAGCGCAAGCAAATAACAACAAACTTTAATATAATATGGACGTAATACAGATCTGTTGCTGAAAAGCTCGCTTTGAGGCCGAATTTCGGTATATGTCACTCTGACTACTAGTCTACATGTTAAAGATTCGGATTGTTTACTTTATACACCTTATATAAAAATCAAATTCGAAAAATTCATCTGTAATGTGAATACAGTGTCCACGTGAAGTTTATTTAATTTTACTGTAGCATTACTCTTGAACTAAAAGGCACAGGAATGAAAAGTAAATGCATTTGGGAAGGCTATAAGATGTTTTGAGATCTATTTTTTGCATGTGTTCAATGAGGGCTGGCTTCTTTCGTTTGCAAATGTAGCCAGTGTGATCAAACAATTTTTACCACTTGTAAGTCGACAATTTGTATTATGTGTTCCCTTCTAAACACCGTACGAAGTCTCCTTTGCGCTGTAAGCGCAAACCTAGACTCATGAAACCACATTGCGCATTTAGCATTCTCTTCTTGAGACGACATTTTGACAATTGTTTCAGGTGGAAAGATTTGGAAACACAAGTGGCACGAATTATAAACTTGATTGTATAACCTACCCAAATGCTTTGATCACAATACGTCTTATGTAGTATAACCTGCTTCAGAGGCATTATCTCTAGAGCCTGATGATTGACAAACCTTTGCCTTTAGGGAACAGCCATTAAAACCTGAAATATCTTCTACTTTCTTTGTTGCATTTCTGTTATAAAAACTGTGTCTATTCACGTACACACGGAACGTATAGCAGCTTTGTCTTGCCACATATAATTTTCTAATCCAATTAAATCAGGCCCTGGAAATAAGTAATGACTCAGAAAGTGTAATAGTAGGGTTTCTTGGCAGTTGTACACGGGATGTGGAACCTGAAACACGTACGGAGCGTGACCAATACTGTCATTGTATTGTTTTTTTTTTCCTTAAAAGATGAATGGTAATTATATGCATCACCTACTTTAGCAATATGTAACTTTGCGTTTGGCATATATGAGTTTCGTATGAATCTTGATGCAAAGAGCTGGTATTTCCTTATACAGCACTAAGTAACTAATCGTTGTAACGCTTATGATTTGTTTTATTTGCGGTACGGGCTGAATTCTTACATAATATTTAGATGAGCTTCAGCTTGAGAGGTTTAATTTACATTTAATTTTATCGGTTCTAACCCGAACACATCCTTGCAGACAAATGTTCCATTGTGGTTCTTAAAATTGAAGTAATATGTTTTCTTTATTTGTTATGTAATTACAATCAGACGTTCCCCTCTGGAACAGTCTTCATTGTAATCATGGTCTCTTTTTTATCATGAAATCTGTACTTTTACCTCGGCTGACCTAAATTAACATCTTGATTTGTAGCACAGCATGTGTAAAACATACCCGTTTGAAAATAAAATAATGTAAATGGTTCATTGAAGTGTATTTACTCTATGATTACTTGGTGGTGACGAACACTCGTTGATTTGTTTCTGCATGTGTTGAAACACTTGCTGAGAGGTCTGGGCTTCTCGTTCCTCGTCTTGGTCCTTCTTAGCTCTCGAGTCCTTCTCTGCTGCGTCGTGAACAGCTTTAACAGTCTGTTTTTATAAAACATATGCAGGTTTTGCAGGTAATGAGTACGACAAAACAAATAGTTACCATGACCCCTTCGCCCTTTGAATTGGTTTTATCAATGAAATTTAAAACTCTTACACGTAATTAGTCTTTGAACATCTAATTTAATTTTTAACCATACCCTACTTCTTCCAGAAATGATTTCATTGTGTGCGCATCATAAACAAGGCTATGTTGTAGTGTGGATGCTTTGAAACCGTCTCCAATATTTAAAGTGCATTTATAAACCACTAAGATTCTAAGAACTTCCTTCCGTTTACAGTTTCAGGATATCGACATTAGCCAATCGTGTCGATAAAGTAATTTATAATACGTGTTCTAAATAGTTTGTCATCAGTCTTTCGACTGGTTTGATGTGGTCCTCCATTTTCGCTTATCTTGCGCTAATCTCTTCATTTCCACATATTTTTTTGCTGTCCACATCCTCAAAAATCTGCGTCACATATTCCAATCTTTGTCTCCCCCTACAATTTTTCCTTCAACTGTTCCTTCCATTACCAAATTAACCAATCCTGGGTGCTTCAGAATGTGTCCCACTCTTCTTCTCGTAAGATTTTTCCATAGACTTCTTCCTTCGCCTATCCTGTCTAAAAGACCAGCTCATTCGTACTTTATCAGTCCACTTAATTTTCAACATCCTTCTATAGCACCACATTTCATATGCTTCTATCCTTCTTATTTCTGGCTTTCCCACTGACCATGTTTCGCTGTGCTCCAACTCAGTACGATTCGAGCTTTTCACACTGGTGAGTAAGTACGAGATTGCTGTCTTCTGCCTACAATCCAGAAGACAGCCATCTTAAATAATTCTCGTTTCCTCGTATAACTTCATCCCCGTAGCTTGCAGGTCTGTGTTTGTTCCTTCATGTTTGCAGTATTATCTAGTATTTTAGTTAGGTATGGCTAATAACCAGGACATTTTGTCATTTTTAAGACTTCTTGTTCAATACAAAGAGAGGGAATGAACTGGAATAAGGTCGGCTACTATTAATGTGATATTTAATTAATTTCTCTGCTTTAAAAATAGAAGCCAGTGTGTGTCTTAACACACCACTCCACGAGCTTACATTATTTGCTCCGTAATTTATTTCAAGGTATGTTGTGGTGGCATACACCACTGTAAATGACCGCACACCGTTCATTTCTTACCATTAGCCGGCATGTTCAAAGGACACCGACCTCGACGTGTTGTATGTGTTCATTTGAACGGAGGAACGTGAAAGTTGTTTCTTCAGATATTATCTCAGGTTTGGTGATTATTATATTCATAGTTGGGTCAAATGAGCTTACGTCAGATCGCTTCATTTCTTCAAATCTTTATCAAAACGTGCAATATAAGATCTCGATCTTTACAAGCCGCATAAATTAGCGTAAATAACTTGTCAGTAAGGAATTTTCCAGATTTGCGTAATATATGCTCAGCTGGAAATGTCTCTTGTATTTTAAATATCAACTGAAGGTTTTTATCATTTTTGTAGGGGATATCGTGTTAGGGCCTGAGGAGGGCTTTCGAGGAAAAAAGTAATTTTACTACATGACGCACCCAAAATTACGTCCAAAAGAAAAGTTTCTGTTACACTTCATGGCAACATAGCACTATTGCGGCTTGACGCGGAAGTGTGAGGGGGGGGGGGATGAGTGAGTTGAAATTCACTTTCACTAACAGTTTGCTGTCATTTCCAGGATTACGACACAAACACGTGTTTTGTGCGACCGAAGTACAATGTTTGTAATGTTATCACTTTATGATGAAAGATATATATACTATATCAGAAAATGCTTTTCGTTAGTTGTATGTGTCTTTCGGCTTGTACCTGTACTTGTTTAATTTAATTAATGAAGTGAACCCCAAAACTATAACGCGTCTTACCGATTAACACCTTGAAGAATGTTTGCTAATCGCAGAAATTGAATCTGTTGCTGAAAGGTGAGATCTGAAGTACTTAAATAATATGAGAATGTTTTTAATTAACTATCATGAAGGTTATATAAATTGTTTTCAATAAAACCCAGCGAAGCGTGAATACGACCTCTAGTCGTAAGAGGTTGAGAACAGCTGGCCTAATATTTCTGGATCAGTCAATGTGCTGACAGAAACCTTGAACTTGTTAGAATCTCCATATAAAACTCACAGAAGAAGATATTATTGCTCGTAACGGTCTAAAAATAAAAAAAAATATGATAAACGGAATAATCGTTTATTTAGATCCGTTCTGTACAATTTCTCAATAAGAATGACATTACATTTATTCTTTACTAAGTCTTCACAGAACGTCAAGCAAAAAGTTCCTTCCTTTCTCCATAACTGCATCTCTTCAGTTGAATCAAGCGTTGCGCATGCATGTTTTATGAAGCTTATCACCTGAACGCATAATTTCTAAAGGACCTTGGTTGAAATAAATTTTATGCTCAGCCTACACAAAAGTCATACAGACATTGCCTGTTTTAATCTAAAGCTCGTATGTATCTTCAAATTAGCATCATTAGCTCTTTGTTTTCAGATATGAAACCTCTTTATTTAGTATACCAAGCGTCTGTTGCTTTCTCCTTCCATGACGTATCTTCGCGCACTTCGTCAGCCTACAAGCGACGCTCTACGTCGTGGTTGAATCCTCGTCTAATTGTTGTACCCAACATCTCTCAAAGTATAGCACCTTTTTGTACTTCCCACGCATTCATGCCTCCCAAAAGAAAGATAAGCTATGTTAGCGATGTAAGTAGAAATGAAAAAGGTGTGAAGATAGGAAATAATGTACAATCCATTAAAAGGTAGGCCTACAT